TCTCTCTCTCTCTCTCTCTCTCTCTCTCTCTCTCTCTCTCTCTCTCTCTCTCTCTCTCCCCACCGAGTTCAGAAAGAGTTCACACGACCCTTCTGAGATTGAACCAGAGTCGCGGCAGGAGTTAGGCCATATTAGTAGTAGACATGCGGATGAGACATAACCATACCTATGCATGAAGGAGGAGGGGAAGCAGACCTGGGAGTTGGAACTCGTCCACAGCCGTGGAATTTGATGGGAATTATAACCATACGTAGCAAGGGGGAGCGTTATGCAAGAGGTACTCTCAAGGTCCACCGGATATACTGCATGGCTTGTGTTCTGGTAGATCCATGTCCATCTCATCCTGGGAACTGCATTGCTTCCATTGCTTTCGTGTCATGTGTGCTCCTTTGGCTCACATCCGGCTGGATCTCCATGCATGTCTAACCAAGGAGACAGTATTGCACTGCTTTTCATTTTATAGATTATCCTCACGGCATCAGCTTGACTATAAGGTGTTGCAACATTTCTCATGTACAGTAAATGTCCCACTTTAGGAATCAAATTTCAAAGTCAGATACTGGATATCTCAGGACATTGCACCCAAAGGAGGAGGGAAGCAAGGGGGTGGAGGGAGGGGGTTAGAAACGGGGGGTACAGAAGGATAGGCAAAGCAATCCACTTGCATTGCATTCAAACCAACCACACCCCAGGAATCCCTCGTTAGAAGGACCTAGACTACACCTCATCGTCCATGTCAAATGAGGGAACCCAACTATTTGCTGTTTCCCTGTTCTTGGCATCTTTAGCTGATCCCTTATTGGCAAGGTGTTCAGAGGGATAGGCAAAACAAAAACCAAAAAGTTAAAAAAACACATTTCTTCCCTTTTTCTGGCACACACAAAGGCGCATGTGCACAGGGAACAGTTGTTGCAGTGCGCTCACCTTGCACTCAAACCATGCCCCACGGAACCCTTGTTGAAAGGACCTAGATTCAACCTCATCGCCCACGTCAAACGGCAGACCCCAACCGTGCTCTGGTTCCCTGTTAATGTGATCTTTGTCTGCATCCTTATCGTCAAAACCTGTCAGAACTTCAGGCACATCATCAGCATCCATGTCCGGATCGACATCGAGACATGGTTCCTCGCCTCGTTCTTCTGCTATGGGACTGTTATCCTCGAGCTCGCCTGACTGTGGCAACTTTCCTGCATCCTGCATCACAAATGTCTTTTCTTCTTCCCAAGGCATTTTCAGCTCCAACGAGCTCCACCGAATCATCTCACCGGGTGTGTAGGCACTGTGCTTGGCACCAAACGAAGGACTACAATCTACATCTACCGTTCTCATCCCTCTTCCAAACAGAAAATCCTCTTCCATCCCACCCACGGACTTCATCCCTGGGCTTTGCTGTCGCCTTTCCTGCTCCATCATCACGGTCTCCGTGGCAAAATACATGCTAGGATCGCGCGGACTTACGTCCTCGTAAATCTTCTCCTCCCCAAAATCGAACTTGATGTTCGACAATGGATCTGAATCCAACAGCATGTCCTTGGTGCTCATCAACGCCCCTCCTCCCGTCACCCCATCTTCATAGACATTGTACTTGGGCATCTTGTGCACAACGTCATCATCATCGTCACTCCATCCTTTCCGCTTCCGGCTATCCTCCAGCCGCTCGCTTGAATCTCCCAAACTGAAAGAGCAGATATCTTCTTTCAATGCTTTTGGAGACTCACTGCAGCACTTGACATCCATCCCTGGCATGGCTCCTGGTTGGGCCACAGACATCATGGTCACTCCGTCCATCTTCAACCCACCGCTGTTAATGCTGCTGCTTCCTCTATAGCTACTAGTGTTGTACCTAATACTCACCATTGCAACAAAGCAAACTGCACATATCCATCGAAAACAGTAAGATACGGAATCGCAAACAAGCAGGCAAAGGAACTAGACATGGAAGGGAGCAGGCAAGGGAGCGGGACATCGGAATTACACATGGAAATCACCGCCTTCATCCGAATAGAAAAGCCCGGTCATTATCGCCGTATCAGGCCAGACTGTTGGCCCAAAAGACAGCTATAATGACAGGGCGTTCCGTTCAGGTGACAACAGTAGGCATGGGGACCAGTAGATATGGGAACGAAGACCTGAAGCCAGCACACATGAGAAAATGTAAACATCGTTTGCATCAATCAAACCAACAGCATGGAACTGCAAACAGCCTGCACTTATGCTTCCACCACAGATCCGAATTGTTCCTGACGAATGTTGCACAGCGCCACATGAAGGCTCTCTCAATTCTTTTCCACCGCATGTTTCATAGCAATACCATCTTCCCCCAAATACAATGCACCATGATTATGAATGTACCAAGCTATTTTCCTGGTTCAATACAGTCATGATTAGGGGACATTGTGTTCAGGGGAAGGCGGTAGCACATCACCTTTCCCGACAAAATGTCCACTTGCTAATGACATGCTTCCCAGGTCGGCCGCACACAATACCCTGACTTCCTCCATCCTAGAATCATTGGGAGACACCATTGGGAGGCGCCACGCAAACATATCAATGACTGGGGACTCGATACGCTCTCAAAAATGCAGCCAAAGAAGGATTGCAATTTGCAAAGTACTATTCTGCATCATCTTAAAAGGAAAAAAAAAAAAAAACATTGTTTCTGACCAATGTTTGCCAGGGACTGTTCATTAAATCTCAGAATAAAATCAAGGAAATCTTGAGACCAGTTCTTGTGAATACTTGAATGCCAGTTTTTACGAAGTCTTCCCCGAAATCCTTACTCCTTACTCTGCAGCACAATCTCCCATACTGGGAGAGAAACATCGAGGTTTGCAAAAGTGCACATGTACCACGGCTTGGTCTGAATAGCAGACTAGGCTTCCCAACAAAAAAGGCAATCATGTGTAGAAAGAAAGGTGTTTCTTTATGTCTATATGACCCGCCCTCTCTCTCTCTCTCTCTCTCTCCTGTCTCTTATACACATCTAGATGTGTATAAGAGACAGTGCCAATAATGCTGAAGGGAGGCAGGGGCTGCAG